CGAAGAGGCGCCTGCGCCCCGCCCGGGCTTTGCCTCAGCCGGTGTCCCTCTCGAGCCCTGCCCCCACGGAGGCTCCGGCGCCCGGGCTGCCTGCCTGTGACTCGAACCCGCACTCACGAAGCTGCCGGAGTAGGCGTTTGTCCCACAAAGAAAAGCCAACAGTAGCCTACACGCTCAGAGCCTCGCATCCTTCCTGCCCACCCGGCTCCCGGCATCCTTCTCCGCAGCCAGCAGTTCCAGCCTGGCCTGGTCCCCTCCACTGACACCCGTCCCTGTTACCGCCCGCACTGTCTTGCCCAGGAATTCAATGACCTGCTCATCAAGGATCACTGTTTACTTAGCAAAACACCAGGCACCGAGCAGCCTCTCGTGGGGCCATTATTCCTGCCCTCCTAGCTCTGCTCTAGGGATTCTTCAATAAAGGAAAACTGCAAGAAATCCCCTATGTGGGACCCACGATTCCATACAGCAAACATTTAAACAAAACAGTAAACACCAGTAGCTCTGGGACCCAGCCCCCAGCCCTCTTCTGAGCTCAGCCCGTGCCCTCTCCGCAGTCCTCCTCCTCGGTAGTCCTCCTCGGTAGTCCTCCTCGGCAGTCCTCCCAACCCCAGTATCCTGGTGGTGAAAGTGAGGCAGGTAATTGAGTGGCCTGCCCAACGTCCAGGGATTGCCGATGGCCATGCCAGGTTTAGTCCTGACTCCAGGGCCAGTACCAAGGAATGTGAAGGCAAAGACAAGAGTGAAGGGCCTCGAAGGGAAGAAGCTGCAGCCTTGGGAAGGAGCGATTCCTGGTCCCCTAGAGGCTGTGGGACCAAGAGACCCCTGTCTGACCAGGACCTGCCCTCTCCCCATTTGCGGGCACTTGTTATAAAGCTTTCAGTCTGGGGCCCAGAATGTCCAACCAGCACACACACACACAGGATTTCTGGGTTAGAAAGCAGGACTCAGCACTTCCCTCTCCATGTGCGTGCAAGAAAAGCAGACCCTTCAGGTGGTGAGGTAGGGAGAGCAATGACTGTGCCCTTACCAAGCACTGGCAGCCAGGATCTCCAAATGTGATTTCCATTGCCTGGGAAAACACAGAAAAGGATTCTTTTCAGGTGCTGACAATTGTAACAATGTCTCTGTGATTATCAGATGTGTGAATGAATGAATGAATGAATGAA